GAACGGCCCCTGCGAGGGCGCCACCGAGTGGGAGCTCATGTTTGACAAGGACGTGCCGGGCTTTGTTAAGTACACGGCCTGGCGCCGCACGCTGCCGGGGGGCAAGACGGAGTACAAGAGCGTCACCACGGCGCCCGACGTGACGCCGCAGGAGTTCATGGATATGTACCTGGACGACGGCTTCAGGCGCAACTGGGTGGGTGGCCGGGGGTGGTCCCGGGGCGGGAAGGGGATGCCTGGGCTCCTAGACTTGGGCGCCTGTGGCTTTTTGTCCGCAACGTGCACTCGTCCAACTTGCCGCTGGCCTGATCGGGTTGACTGCTGGGCCCTGGAGCCCGGAGGCCGTCGTTCGCATTTGGTGACCCTCGTCCGCCGCGCCCCTCCGTCTGCCCCCCAGGACGGCATGGTTATCCACCATGAGGTGCTGGAGCACGGCAACTTCGCAGAGCGCCAGCAGGTGGTGCGCTGGATCCGCCGCTTCCCCTTTGCCTTCCTCAGCGACCGCGAGTACTCGATCGCGCGCCGCCTCTTCCGCGGCGCGGACGGCTCGCTCACGGCCTGCACCAAGGTGGGCGCCGCGCGGCGGTCAGCATGCGGGCCATGAGACATCCGCGAGGGTTGAGGGGACTGCATGACGGGGGCTTGCACCCAGAAAGGACAAGCTTAATCCAGCTGCTTGGGCACCTCGCATGATTCGCAGCCGTGCGCCACATGGCAACCTCACAGTTGTCGAGCCCTGCCCTTTACCCACCTTATTGACCGCAATGCCCCCCCCTTGCCATCCCTAAAAAAACCTGTCGTCTCAGTCTCACCCCTCCTGACAATCTCGCCAATCACCCCACCCCACCCCCCCAGTCTGTCGTGCACCCCCGCGAGTACAAGAACAGCTCCCTGGTGCGCATGGACGTCTACTGGAGCCACTGGCGCTCCGTCGCCGTCGACTGCCCCTGGGGCAGCGGCAAGCCCGCCACCCAGACGACGCTGCTGCACCATGAGCAGTTCAAGATCCCCGAGCGCCTCGCGCGCTTCGCCGTCACACACGGCATGTGGGGCTTTGTGCGCAAGCTGTCCTCGACGGTGCCGCAGTACGCAGAGGCGCGCCGGCGGCGCTGCCACCCGCTCAAGGAGGACGCCGACGCATATGGCGCCGGCTTCGCGCCCAACCCGCCGCACCGCCACGGCGCCGCCGCCGGCGGCGCCGCGGACGACGGCACCTGCAGCGCCGCCGCAGCCGCGGACTCGCCCGGCGGCGGCCGCGCGGACGCGTACCGGCCGCGCGGCGGCGGGCTGCGCACAAAGGCGGCGCTGCTGCTGATCGGCGGCGTGGCCCTGGCCGCCGGCGCGGGCCGCGTCGGCGGCGGGCGGCGCGGGCGGCGCGCCGCGCTGGGGGCGACGGCCTTTGCGGAGGCCGACCCCGCGGAGTGCGTTGAGTGAGCGGGAGAGCGGCGCTTCGGCGCGAGAGCGAGGGGCACTAGTCTAGCCTGCCCTGTGAGGGGCGCAACCCACCGCGAGGGGCGCCGGCACTGTGCAATGAAGGCCCTGGATAGCCGACGCCGAGCAAAGCGGCTGTAGAAGCTCAATCCAGGCAACCCGCCCCGCGCGTGCGGGCGCGGGCCGCCGCGGGTGCTGCGGGCATGTCGCCGCCGCCGCGTCGGCCCTGCGTTTATCACCTGCACCCCCTGCGGGGCGCGCACCCACCAACCTGATGTGTTTCATGCGTCCGGCCCCAGCCCTGCTTAGCTCGTCCCGGCGGCGGCTGGCACAAGGCTGCACAGGCCGCCCGCAGCACTGCCTGAGTCGTCTGTTCATCCATTTGCGCTCTCAGTCTCCCTTGTTGGCACCTGGGGCGGCCGCTTTCCGCAACGCGCGCAGTCCTCCCCCCGCGCCGCGGGTTGGATGGGAGGCTGGCGCAGCGTTTCGGCCGCGCCTCGGCTGGGTTTGGTTGCATGCGTGGTTGTTGGTGGGGGCCAGAACCGGCTCTACGAGTGGCCTGCGCCCGACCCGGCCGCGCGCAACCGCTTGAGCTCCGCTTGGCTCCAGGCTTTTGCCATGTCGCCTGCGCCGTCGGGCGCGCGCGCGCGCGCCATTTGTGCTGCCCTACAAAGCACCCAACGTGGTGTGCCCCATATGACAGGGCCCGCGCCCGCTCTTGCTGCTGCTGCTCCACCCCCTATCAGCGTGGCAACTGACAGCGGCGCGGCCCCATTTCATCGTACCTATGTTTCCTGTGTCCATCGATGCCTCCCGCGGGGGGTTTGGAGTCGAGATTTTGCCCCATCGCATACGCAAACACCACCGGCCCATCTTGGAAGATGCCCTGCCGGCCGCCGCGCGCGCGACGCGCCCGACTGTGCGCATCAAGCGCTCCCCGCTCCCCACGCGCACGCGTGCACAAACTCAGCAAGGTGTCGGCATACCTTGATGCCAAAACCCTTCCCTTTCACAACACGCGGCGCGCGCGGCTCGCATTTGGCGGGCGCATCGCCCTTGATGTGTGCCAAACACATTATACGTATGAGCGAATCCGCTCCAAACCCCGCACGCGTGACGAATACTTCCGTCGTGTGCCCGCGGACCACCACACAAGGATTCCCCCCGCCCACACACACACACAAAGTGGGTTTTTCCCTCGGGCCGCCGGCCGGCCAACCAAGGTGCTGCTGCATGTTGCGGCGCACGCTTTTCCGCCGCACGCCCGATTTTCACGGCAGGGCTTGTGCAGCGAGAGTTGGCGACATGGGTGGGTGGG